GTTGACTCTCTCTCAAACATGCACACGTGCGCTCGTGCACACACACACACACAATCCCACACATTATACCCAGTGTAACAGCAAAATTGTTCAAAACGTGTTACAACATAATTGTAGATCCCAACAAAAATGTTTAATATCTATAAAACCACTAAACTAACTGAGTTTCTGTTTTCCATGTTTTCAGACAAAACGCTTTTCCCTCTTGATACCATTTGTCGTAGGAATCACTAAAAAACCATTTAAGTTATTCATCTACAAATAGAACAGGTTAAAATCGTTGGTTTCCATATTCAAAGTCCATTCAAGAATCATCAAGGGAACCGTGAATAAGCTTAAAAATGAGGGATCAGTAGAGAGGAAAACTGGATCAGGAAGTCACAACAGGAAGAGGGATCATCATTTCAACTTAGAGCTAAAGACATCAATTAGAAAAGATCCAACTCAATCCATAAGACGTTTGGCACGTGAGAGAGGAGTTTCAGCTATGACAGTCCAAAGACCTGTGAAAAAAAGAGTTGAAAGTGAAATCGTACCTGAAATGTGTGAGGCACCTTGTTCCTCCAGGCCAAAAAGTTTTATACTTTATATGTTTTTCGAAAGGTGTTATAACATATTTCCGATTACATCTATTCTTTCGTTGTCCTGTTATTACCGAGAAGTAAAAAACAAAAACAAATCTATTTCCATATCTGATGATGTTTGTATGCACAGATGAAACATTGTAAAAAAATAAAAAAAATACCTTATGCAACTGGAATTTATAAACAGGGATCATAACATTCATCTACAGGTTCGCGGTTAATGTACTTTATTAAATTTGTTTGCGAAGATGTATTCTCGCCATTTATATCATCACCTTCTATATCTGTTTTTTGTATGAATGATTCATGTAATGTAAATTGAACTGCACCACATACTTGATATATATATATATATATATATATAACATTCTTTTTATAGATATAAGTATTTAAGTAAATGCTCTGTTTATAATAAACAGTATTAAATAACATTTACCGGCCTGAATGTCCGAGAAATGTTCATAGAAAATATTCGTCCTTTGATTCGAACCTGCATCCTATACGGAACCGTTATTTACGCTGACGTGCCTTAACCGACTCGGCCACAAATGAGCGTACGGTAGGCAAGGTCGAATTTACTGCTTATAAACTTCAATCTTCCATGAATCTCGTACATTCATAACTGCTCATGGCGTATCAAATGTAAACAAATGACGTCATACATTAAGAATTGGACAAGTCCGACAATTTATTAAAGACATTTTTATGTATGTATGTATGTATTAACTTTATTTGAATCCTTCATGAGCTTCTGATCCTTTGCTATGATTAATTAATTTAAACATTAACCGATTTAAACATATACACAGATACTTACCAGACTCCATCCGGAACATACTAATTGAAAATAAAATCATAATAACCTCATCCACATGTAAAAAAAATATTTCACATAATGTAAGCCTAAATAATAAAAAAGGAAAAGCAACGCTCAATAGTATACGGCGAAAAATGTGCTGATAGTGTTTTGAAATTGAAGCATTCCTATAACTCTAGATACATGTACACAACCTATACATCTAGTTAAAAGTAAAAATAAAATCATCCTTGAAAATGGCTAAAATTATATCTGAAAAATCCTCTAAATTACGAAACATTTGGACAGTGTTGTGTATGTGTGCTGTGTGTGTGCATATGTATGTGTGTGTTGTGTGTGTGGGGTGTGTGTATGAGTGTGTTTGTGGTAAAATACCTGATATGTAATATCTGAACAAAGGATATGTTATAGATTTTGTGAAAAACAATTTTTTTTTCTTCTCTTGCCAACTTTTTGCTCACTAAAAGCATCCTCAAAATGACTGAAGCATCCCGGGAAAAAAAAAAAAAAAATTGTTTCCCTGGCCACCTTACTACGAAGAATTTTTACTCATATCATGATAATAAAACTAAAAATGGTATATCATTGGTTTTTTTTATTTTTTTTTTTTATCTCAGACCATTTAAAACATGTAGCCCCTTTCTATCTAGACGAAGAAAGTAAATACCTTGAAAACAAATTCAAATCATTACAATGCTCTAGTTACTTCATACTAACCACAAAAAAAAATCTCTAAATATACACAACGTTAAACGTGAGAATAATTCTACTGAACATTCTCGATACTTATCTTTAACCACGAATCTACCTACTCAGATAATTGCTGATAAACTCAAGGACCTTGCAATTACAAACACTCTAACTCAATCTTCTACCATAAAAGACATAATAAGTCAAATATAAGAATAATATATAGCATTCAAATGGTATATATATATATATATATATATATATATAATATATATACAAAGTTAAAAAATAATAATGTTTTTTATAAAAGTATTTATTTATTTATATATATTTTTGATATTTCTGATTGACCTCGATCTTTCTTCAGAAATAACTGTTTTTAGAGGTTTGTTTACAAGTAGCATCCGTCATTAGCTTCTGATCTTTAGCTATATATATATATATATATATATATATATATATATATATATATATATATATATATATTCCCAAGAGGATAG